AGAGAGAACTCAAATTACTAGCATATGGGATGAAAAAGGCAATATCACAACAGACACTTCAGAAATATAGAAGATAATCAAAAATTATTTTGAATCCTTATACTCCAATAAATTAGAAGATAGTGAAGGCATAGATAAATTTCTTAAGTCATATGATCTGCCCAGATTGAGTCAGGAAGATATAGACAACCTAAACAGACCAATATCAATTGAGGAAATAGAAGAAACCATCAAAAGCCTACCAACTAAGAAAAGCCCAGGACCGGATGGGTATACAGCAGAGTTTTACAAAACCTTTAAAGAGGAACTAATACCAATACTTTTCAAGCTACTTCAGGAAATAGAAAAAGAGGGAGAACTTCCAAATTCATTCTACGAGGCCAACATCACCCTGATACCTAAACCAGACAAAGACACTTCAAAGAAAGAAAACTACATACCAATATCTTTAATGAACCTAGATGCAAAAATCCTCAATAAAGTTCTGGTGAATCGGATACAAAAACATATCAAAAAAATTGTGCACCATGATCAAGTAGGATTCATCCCTGGGATGCAAGGCTGGTTCAATATACGGAAATCAATAAATGGTATTCACCACATCAATAGACTTAAAAATAAGAACCATATGATCATCTCGATAGATGCGGAAAAAGCATTCGACAAAGTACAGCATCCCTTTATGTTCAAAACTCTAGAAAAATTAGGGATAACAGGAACATACCTCAATATTGTAAAAGCAATCTATGCTAAGCCTCAGGCTAGCATCATTCTCAATGGAGAAAAATTGAAGGCATTCCCTCTAAAATCTGGAACAAGACAGGGATGCCCTCTCTCACCACTTCTGTTCAACATAGTTCTCGAAACACTGGCCAGAGCAATTAGACAGACGAAAGAAATTAAAGGCATCAAAATAGGAAAAGAAGAACTTAAATTATCACTATTTGCAGATGACAGGATTCTATACCTAGCAGACCCAAAAGGGTCTACAAAGAAACTATTAGAGCTAATAAATGAATTCAGCAAAGTGGCAGGATATAAAATCAACACGCATAAATCAAAGGCATTCCTGTATATCAGCGACAAATCCTCTGAAATGGAAATGAGGACAACCACTCCATTCACAATATCTTCAAAAAAAAAATAAAATACTTGGGAATCAACCTAACAAAAGAGGTGAAAGACTTATACAATGAAAACTACAGAACTCTAAAGAGAGAAATAGAAGAAGATCTTAGAAGATAGAAAAATATACCCTGTTCATGGATAGGCAGAACTAACATCATCAAAATGGCAATATTACCAAAAGTTCTCTATAGGTTTAATGCAATGCCAATCAAAATCCCAATGGCATTTCTTGTAGAAATAGAGAAAGCAATCATGAAATTCATATGGAAAAATAAAAGACCCAGAATAGCAAAAACAATGCTAAGCAGGAAGTGTGAATCAGGCGGTATAGCGATACCAGACTTCAAACTATACTACAGAGTAATAGTAACAAAAACAGCATGGTACTGGTACCAAAACAGGCGGGTTGACCAATGGTACAGAATAGAGGACACAGAAACCAATCCACAAAACTACAACTATCTTATATTTGATAAAGGGGCTAAAAGCATGCAATGGAGGAAGGATAGCATCTTCAACAAATGGTGCTGGGAAAACTAGAAATCCATATGCAACAAAATGAAACTGAATCCCTTTCTCTCGCCATGCACAAAAGTTAATTCAAAATGGATCAAGGAGCTTGATATCAAATCAGAGACACACCGTCTGACAGAAGAAAAAGTTGGCTACGATCTACATACTGTGGGGTCGGGCTCCAAATTCCTCAATAGGACACCCATAGCACAAAAGTTAATAACTAGAATCAACAAATGGGACTTACTCAAACTAAAAAGTTTTTTCTCAGCAAAAGAAACAATAAGAGAGGTAAATAGGGGGCCTACATCCTGGGAACAAATCTTTACTCCTCACACTTCAGATAGAGCCCTAATATCCAGAGTATACAAAGAACTCAAAAAATTAGACAATAAAATAAAAAACCACCCAATCAACAAATGGGCCAAGGACCTGAACAGACACTTCTCAGAGGAGGACATACAATCAATCAACAAGTACATGAAAAAATGCTCACCATCTCTAGCAGTCAGAGAAATGCAAATCAAAACCACCCTAAGATACCATCTCACTCCAGTAAGAATGGGAGCCATTATGAAGTCAAACAACAACAAGTGCTGGCGAGGATGTGGGGCAAAGGGTACACTTGTACATTGCTGGTGGGACTGCAAATTGGTTCAGCCAATTTGGAAAGCAGTAGGAGATTTCTTGGAAAGCTGGGAATGGAGCCACCATTTGACCCAGATATTCCCCTTTTCAGTCTATTCCCTAAAGACCTAAAAAGAGCATGCTACAGGGACACTGCTACATCGATGTTCATAGCAGCACAATTCACAATAGCAAGACTGTGGAACCAACCTAGATGCCCTTCAATAGACGAATGGATAAAAAAAAATGTGGCATTTATACATAATGGAGTATTACTCTGCATTAAAAAATGACAAAATCATAGAATTTGCAGGGAAATGGGTGGCATTAGAGCAGATTATGCTAAGTGAAGCTAGCCAATCCCTAAAAAACAAATGCCAAATGTCTTCTTTGATATAAGGAGAGTAACTAAGAACACAGTAGGGTCGAAGAGCATGAGAAGAAGATTAACATTAAACAGGGATGAGAGGTGGGAGGGAAAGGGAGAGAGAAGGGAAATTGCATGGAAATGGAAGGAGACCCTCAGAGTTATACAAAAGTACATACAAGAGGAAGTGAGGGGAAAGGGAAAAATAATACAAGGGGGACAAATGAATGTCAGTAGAGGGGGCAGAGAGAGAAGAGGGGAAGGGAGGGGAGGGGAGGGGGGATAGTAGAGGTTAGGAAAGGCAGCAGAACACAACAGACACTAGTATGGCAATATGTAAATCAATGGATGTGTAACTGATGTGATTCTGCAATCTGTATATGGGGTAAAAATGGGAGTTCATAACCCGCTTGAATCAAAGTGTGAAATATGATATATCAAGAACTATGTAATGTTTTGAACAACCAACAATAAAAAATTTTTAAAAAAATATTCTAAGATACATTAATAGAAAAAAAAATAAACAAGTTACAATATTTAAAAAAAAGACCATATGTTCAATTGAGTGCCAAGATTGCCACTCTCTGGGATGAAAAAAAAAATAAGGAGTATAAGGGCTGGGGATATAGCCCAGTTGGTAGAGTGCTTCCCTCACGTACACTAGGACATGGGTTCAATCCCCAGTACCACACACACACACACACACACACACACACACACACACACATCACTTGCAAATGTTTTGGGGCTGGGGTTGTGGCTCAGCAGTAGTTTGCTCGCCTAGGATGTGCAAGGCCCTGGGTTCAATCCTCACTACCACATAAAAATAAATAAATAAAATAAAGGTATAAAAAATAAAAAAAAATATGGAGTATAAAATAAGTATTCTTGTCTTTGGTTAACTTCAAATATTGTTAAATATGAATGAGTTAGCACAATATCAATTGTAGAACTGACCATAAATGTCACATTAGTGTGCAATGTACCCAGCAATGATTTTAAAATTATAAATTGTAAGATGTTTCAGTCATGCTCACCACCATGGATAACACACACATGCCTAGCCTCTCAGTCCTTATGACTGACACTGTGCAGTGCTCTCCCCTCTGGGCAGCCACACTGCATGTTGGCCCTTCCTCCATCCTCACCTCCCTCAGCAGTAACCTATTTACACTGGCTCAGGTGGTCGTGACTAAGGAGATTGGATTCCACATGGCTGATACCCAGGCACCTCCCACCTCATCTTTAGAGCTGACATCTGTGCACACTCAGGTAGGGACTTCCTAATAGACACAACCAGGGTGAGAAGAAACACAGGATGGGATCCACTGAACTGGAGCCATCAAGCAGAAAGGCTGGAGGCACAGGTGTGACCTTGGAGGCTCAAAGCATAGAACAGACTGGCAAAATAGGTGACCTCTCACAAACTCTAAGATTGTCCTAACAATGATTACGGGATAAAAAGTTTGTAAAATGAACATCAAATAATGCTTTTCAGTAATTTTTAGTAAAAAAGAAGCTTTAAAGAAGAGTGAAATTATGGCATTTGCCAGTAAATGGATGGAGTTGGAGAATATCATGTTATGTAAAATAAGCTAATCTCACAAAACCAAAGGCTGAATGTTTTCTCTAATATGTGGATGCTAATTCACAATAAGGTGAGGGGGTGGGGGGAACTAGGGAAGAATAGTGTTACCTTAGATTAGGTAGAGGGAAGTGATGGGAGGGAAAGAGAGGGGATGTGGGGATAGGAAAGATAGTAGGATGAAACAGATATTATTACTATATGTATGTATGTGGCTGCATGACCAATGTGATTCTGCAACATGTACACTCAGAAAAATGAGAAATTATATCCCATCTATGTATGATCTATCAAAGTGCATAAATGCATTCTACTATCATGTATAACTAATTACAACAAATTAAAAAAAAATTAAAAAAGAAGTTTGTCAGTAATTAAAACAAATTTTAAAAAGATTATTTATTTTATTGATTTCCTCTATTTATTCTTAGAAAATACTACCTTCTTAAAGCCACATTCATTATGGTCAATTTAAATTACAAAAAAAGAAAAAAAAATTGCCATTCTTACCATTGTGAAATGCAAAGCTCAGTGGCATTAAATATAGGTATAGTTGCCAAAATATCACTATCATCTATCTCCCCCATTCCTTATCTTACAAAAGTGAAACTTTCTTTCCAATGTAAAAAAGTGCCAAACATCCCTTGCCAATAGGAGTCCCAACCATTCTACTGTAAAATTTTGTGAGAAATTAGCATAAGGCACATCTGAACAGGACCAGGTATGTAACTTTGCTGCATTTTCCAACACACATTGCAACCAGTACCACGGAAGTTGGGATTAGATTGCCCTGCTGTGAAGCTTCCAAAGGGCACCTTTGATATCCTTGTTCCTCAGGCTGTAGATAAAGGGGTTCAGCATGGGGGTGACCACAGTATACATTACTGAGGACACCACATTCTCTCTTGGAGAATGTGATACAACTGATCCAAAGTACACTGCAGAACCTGTTCCTAAAAATAGGCAAAAAACTGCCAGGTGAGAGCCACAGGTGGAGAAGGCTTTGTACTTCCCACCTGAGGATGGGATCCTCACAATGGAGGAAATAATTTTATAGTAAGAGAAAAGGATCCCTGAGATGGGGAAAAAGCTATATAGGGCAAAAAGAACATACTTGCCAGTATTAATAGAGTAGGTGTCAGAACAGGAAAGATTCAGAAGTTGAGAAGGGTCACAGAAGAAACTAGAAATTTCCACATCCTTGAAGCTGGTAATTTGTAAGATCATCAAATTGTGCAGCTGAGAGTCCAAGAGACTCAGCAAAAATGATACCAAAATTGAGAAGCCACAGAGGCGAGGGTTCATAATTACTGTGTAATGCAGGGGATGACAGATGGCCACAAATCTGTCATAGGCCATCACAGTCAGAAGCATATAATCCATACAAATAAAAATGGCAAAAAGAGACATCTGTGTCAGACAGCCCACGTAGGAGATGACATCATTGTGAGTTTGAATGTTTATAATCAACTTTGGGACCGTGGTGGAGATGAAGCCGATGTCAGCCAAGGACAGGTTGGAGAGGAAGAAGTACATGGGGGTGTGGAGGTGGGGGTCAGAGCTGACAGCCAGGATGATGAGCAGGTTCCCAAGCACTGTGACCAGGTACATGGACAGGAACAGTCCAAAGAGAAGGGGCTGCAGGTCTGGGTCCTCTGAGAGGCTCATGAAATGGAATTCAGAGACACGGGTTAGATTTTGTTCTTGTAGGTAGCTTGGACATCTTTTGAAAAAAAAGCAAAAAAGGTGTTAAAAAAGAAATATGTAAAACAGGCTCTCCTCATTCTGGAAATAGTTGAATTAAAGTATGCACAAGGAAGGAGCTCACACTTTAGGTCCATACACCTTCAACAATAGCTGTCAGTAGTAAAGCCCCCTAGTCTCTACATATTCTTTCATTATCACCTTCTCCATCATTCACCCCTCTTTCTATACTCACCTAAGAAGCATTGAGCTGAGCAGTGTTAAAAGTCCAGGAGCAGAGAAGAAGTCCATGATCAACCCATATAATGTAAGCCAAATATCTGTTATATAAATGACCCCACCCTTTTTTTCTTTTTCTTGATTCTGTACTCTATCTGGCCTGCCAAAAGTGCTTCATGGTTTTTTGATCTCAAATCATCAAGTACATTGTTTATGACCCAGCACCAAGGAAGGCCCCAAAACTCAAGTTTTATTTCCAATCTTAGTTCTTTTTCATGGGTTCTTTGGTCAGCCATTCCTGACACATTGATTTCAATTCTCCTATTTAGGCTACGTGAAGTACACTTGGGTTCATTATTTATCATTTCTCACTGTGAAATAATTGGATACAATACAAAACAGAGTATAACAAGTAAAAATGTAACAACTTCTTGGAAACATCCTCATTTGTAAATTGGAGGTAGTAATTACCTACCTTGTATGATTGTCATGAGGAAATTAAAAAAAAAAAAAAAACTTTCAAGTGGCATAACTAGTAGTTCTCTCTCATTATTAAATCTACCTGTCTATATTTTAGAATATCCATACAACATTGATGTCAGACTAATACCAATTATATCAGCATATCCACATGTGAAGTTCTCAGTGGTTCTTTCTTACACCAGATCTGAAATCCTATGTCTAACAATATCCTGCCATGTAGAACCTTCTTCATGAATATTACCTACTCTTATTGTCCATAATACCCATCACCTATATTGAAACATATGAATCTGATAATAATTCAGGACTAACATTGGATAGACATCTGAAACATTACCTAAGAAATTTGAGTTAATATCTCTGTCTGATTCCATTTTCCTGCAAACCTGTTCCCCAAACATACTTATTGTTATGAAATGCAGAGGTGTAATTATCTGCTCGAGTTTTCATGCCAGAATCATCTACCAAACACTTTTCTTTCATACAATTACCTAAAACATAGGTTAAAAAAATCATCTAAGTAATTTGCAAAACAATGCCCATTGGCCATGAAATGTACAAGTTTATATTAACCTGAGCTTTTAATTTCTCAATGAAGTAAATTTCTCTTCTGCAAAGTCTTTATCTGATGCAAAGTGATAGAAAGGACATCATTGTTTAATTCAGTAGTATATTACTATGACAATCATTTCAAAGCAGTCTGCCTGTCACTTAAATAATAGTGTCTGGATAATATGTCGTCAGGACATGGTTGGTTGATTTCCAGTGCAAAAGATGTGTCCAAATTTACTCTTAATGACCTACATTTAGGTACCTACAAGAACAGTCACTGTCACCTACATCTTCTCAATCCTAATATGTATCATGGAAATGCAATTGCACCCTAACTAGGAGTATTCTTCCTTGATGACTCCTGAAGAAGTTTGGTCTTGTGCAGGGAATACTCTTTACTGTGGCTCTAACAGAAGAGCCAGTGCCCTGGGCTGGAGTCAGGCAGGCAACATTTCAGACCTGCATCACCTGCCAGTGTGTGCACAGTGTTCGAATCACTTCTCCTCTCCCTGATCACTGCTTAATGGAAACACAGAAAATAATGCTATCTCCACAATATGTGCAGCATCAAAGCAACATTGGGAACTCAATGAATATTTGGAAATTTTTATTTTAGTAAAAAAAAAATCCCATAATTACATAAGTATTAATATTATGGAGGAAAGCCATGGTCAAGGGCACTGGAGGCCGGAATGAAGTGAAACCCTGACGAAGGGCTCAGTGGAAGGCTGCAGTGTTAGGTGCCCCTTCAGCTTCTGCCTTGTTGCTTTTCTTCAAATCCTTGAAAATCTCTGCCATGATTTCTGAATACTTGCCTACTGTGGATGAAGCTAAATACAAGTAAAGTGTCCCTATGACCAAAACATGGACACAAAGGACACTGTTTGAACTTGTCTATTCCCATGGACACTGCTGGAAGGAATGAAAGGACAAACAGGAGGCCACAGTCTGTTCATCCAAATTCGTTTTGGTCAATATATGGAAAAGGGTGGGGTGGTTCAATTCTCAACAGACTTGCTCAAGACTTCACCCTGTGCCAAGCAGAAAACAGGCTCTGGGGTGTAAGAAATAGAAAAAAGGAAGCCATTCCTCCCAGATGCACAGCACACACATCTGTAAGGGCAAACATAAAGTGTCCCATCCAGAAACAGGAAAACGGTCACTTCAGGTCACTGGATATATTAGTTGAGTGGAATGAAGATTAACCTATCAGGACTAACAGTACCAATAATATCCAGATTTATTATGCCCTCATTTTATTCCCATATCCCATATTATTTACATAAAAGAACCAAGTATCTACTTTATCCTTACTGTAGTTGCATCAATGGGAAATGAATTCAGATAACAGGGCTGAGTCTAGACACCAGTGAAACCAGGGACTGCTTTATAGACACAGTGACTGGGTTGACAGAGTCTGAAAAGGATTGATTTAATTATTTTATTCTTTCCCACCTGACAGTGTTCAGTATGAGCCCAGACATTTTCTCTGCTGGTAAATATGAGGTACATTTTTAAAATATTTCCAGTATTTGGGGGGAAATGCAATCAAACCTGACCTTAGTTTTGCTTTGAGATTGACAGGGCTGTTTTCAAGCATGGAGGAGCATAGAGGGAGCTCCCCAGAGGTTCTGGAGGGGCCCAAGATTGTGATCTAATCTGAATGATCATCAGCCTCCCCTACTGTGATCTCTCCTGTGATGTGTGGATGTCCTTCCATTGTGCATGCACCAGGAACCCCACTGCTCTGCCTTGTGATCCCCAGGCATCCCACGAGAAAGAGCACCATGGGTAAGGCTCTCTTTCTGCAGTGTCAGGGAAGAGGAGTGGCTGGTTGGCCTGCTGATGGGACAGCCTGCCAGGGTTCTCCTGTGATGCCCTGTGTCCATGGCCAGACAGCCCAGTGCAAACATGGCTGCACTTTTCCCCACCTAACAAAGGAGTACAAGTTACAAAAGTATAACACACGGCTTCATTTTCTATAAAATAATAATAATGTGGACACATATAATTAAAATAGGATGGTGTTTATGAAAAGGAAAAAAAAAGGTAGTTGGTTAGCACCTGAGCCTGGGAAGCCCTGCACCTCAGTGCATGGTGCTCTGGCTTCTGTCATCCTCATCATCATCTTATCACCATCATCAAAGTCCTTTCTTAGAGGTTAAGAAACACTTTTGAAGGACCCATTTGTGCTGTTGTGGAGGAGATTTCTGTGTGAATCAGAACCAGTGTGGGTGGACAGCACAGTTTGAATAAGATTTCTCATCTCCCCAACTGAAACAAAAGCTTGAATCCCACAACCCCAAGTTGAACATTCATGTGGTGTCCTCCCATCTGGTTATTCTGTGGTGTTTGTCCCTTTGCTGAGGTAACACTACTTCCCCAGTCCTACCCACATCCAAGGCCCCCTCTGTACTTACTGGGTAACGCTGCTTCCCTGCAGGGTCATCACCAAAAGTGCAGATCCTAAGGCCCTAACAAGTGTGGAGCCCAGGGAAGGAGCAACTGTGTCCACAGGAAGAGATCTTGTCATCAGGAGCTTCCTGATGCAGAAAATCCCAGGAGGAGACACAGCCATGCAGCTCACTGGACAAGAACCATCCACTAAAGGGCAGCAGGCACAGGCTAATTGTGCACTAATGTAGGACCTTGGAAGATCAATACACAGAGCTTGTAATTAGACTAATTGGTCCATGAAATCCCCATCTCTAAGGATTCCCCGTCATTAATGAGGAACACAAATGAAATTGAATGTCCACATAAGTTTCTGGCCCTAAATCTAATTAGGAAAAAGTTTACATATTCTATTTATTTTCTTTCATTTCTGTGTTCCTTAAGGAGACATCTGTGATCAATGTTCATTTTATTGGGATAAAATATCAATGCAAACAATTACCACTCTGATGCCCTTAATGTATGCCATGTATGCAGTACTCCATGCACTTGTCCCCACAGGGATATAAACAGGAAAAGAAGAGCTCAAATTATCTATTCACTGATGGCATGTTTCCTATAATTAGAAGACCCAAAAACTCAAAAAGAAAGTTTCTAGAGCTCATAAATGAATTCAGCATGGTAACATGATACAAGAACAATTCTCATTAATCAATCACATTTCTATATTTCAATGACTAATCTTCTGAGAAAGAAATTGAAAAACTATCCCATTCACAATAGCCTCAAAACAATAAATTACTTGCAAATCAGTCAATTCAAAATAATTGAAGGACCTTTGCAATGAAAACTATAGAACACTATATTAACTTATTTTTTTTACTAGGGATTGAACACAGTGGCCCTTATCCACTGAGCAATATCTCAGCTCATTTAGTATTTTATTTAGATACAGGATCTTACTGAGTTGCTTAAGGCCTCGATAAATTGCTGAGACTGTCTTTGAACTCTAAATCCTCCTGCCTCAGCCTCCTGAGCCTCTGGGATTACAGGCATGCACCACAGTACCCAGCGACTTTTTAATTTCATTTTTAAAACTCATTGGCTTTGTCACTTTTAATATGCAGTATGTAAATAAAAAGAAGTTACAGATTTCACCATTGTCAAGTGCATAGTGTAGTGGCATTTATTATTATTTGTTTTCTTGTGAAATTGACTACCATCCATCTCCAAAATTTTTCATCTTCATGCAGTGAAATCTTGATCCTTAACATAGGCTGAAACCATTATACTATAAAACATGGTGAGAAATTAAAACTATTTATGTTATGAAAAGGCACATTAACAGGGCCAACCTTTTAGCTTTGCTGAATTTTCCAAG